AAGTATGCATACTTATTATATTTATCAACCGCAACATTTTAATTTTTAACAAGTATTTTTATTAACATTAAAGGCTACACTTAACCCACCATCATTCCCTCAATACCACAGTTTTTAATGTTACAGACCAACAACTGTGATATTGGTAAAGGAGGGTGGTAAAAACCATGCCTCTAATTGTGAAGGGCTCTGTAAGTTTGAGGGATTTTAGTTTTAAGATTTCACTTTCATCTTACATAGATTTTCCTAAGATATTCTTACCTTAGTTACCTTACAGTTCATCAAATCATCTAGAGGACTATGGGAAATGTTTTCTCACCTCACCTGAGTTAAATCAGACTGAGGGATTCTTAAAGCAGGATGTTGATGATGGTGATAACAGGACTGTGTCCTTGGAACATTTTGGCAAGTCACAACAATCAAACTATCGACAGCAGTGTCCTTCTTAAATGAACAATATTTCAAATCTTCCCAGAGAAGCCAACGACCTCCACACTCTCACAATCCAAATGATCGAATCTTCCTAACTCTAAATCAGTCTTTATCAGCCTCGATTTGGACATCGATCTCACTCGCAGCAACCCAAGGTGAAAGGCAGCCAGATATTTCATTTGTAACATACATCCTCTTCACTCAATTCCTCTTACTTTTATTACTTTGACTCCAATGGGGCTATTCATTTTATCACTGACAGAAATATGTGTGGGTGAAGAAATGGTACACTTATTCTACTCATGTTCTTGTCACTAAACAATTTAAATCTAAAACTGATTTCTCATGTCGTCAATTAAACAGATCATGAAGGCCCAAGAATTACCCAGTGGGATAAATATAGATTGGTAGCTTTAATGTAGCAACTTGACATTGGAGCTAGTCTTGTTTAAATATGAGAAGTCCTTTGCCCAGTTTAACAAAAATAGTGGCTTAACATATGAATATTATGGAAATTAATGTCAGGTTATTATAGGAATAAGGGCATCTTTCATTATTTTTTCCCATGTGTCCTGTCTAGCGGTGTAACACTCAAAATTGTATTCCTAGTTCCAAGGAGAAGTCTAACATATTTACCTTCATAAGTGGAGCATAAAAGCTTTCACTATAATACTCCCCTTGATATATGTGTGAATAAAGGTAAGAACACATAGAAAGAAACAATTGAGATAATACAAAATAACATTCTAGGAGTTTGCTTCAGCACCTGGAGAGAAAGAGAGAGAGACTGAAAGAGAGAGAAAAAGAGAGATAACGGAACAAGAATTGAAAAACAACCAGTCGATGTGATAAATCACAAAGAAACTTTCAAAATATTATTAGAAACAAGATGCTTTTAGTGGCAGCTAAATATAGAGTTAATCTTTTAAGAAATCTTTCCATGTTGGTCCTCTTTTGCCCTAAATGCAGGTAGGAGAAAGGCTTTCTGATGTTAAATTGGGGATATTTGATAAATAAAAAGCCATACAAATTTAAAATACAGAGGAGCGCAGGGATATTGAATTGCATTTCATTTAATTAATTAAATGCAATCTAACCTCATGGTGGATCTTTTAGCTCTATTTTTAGAATTCATCTGTCAAAATCTTTAAATGTGAATTAAGTTTTCAATATTCACCTTCTTCATATATATTTCCATATGTCTCTTCTTGTAATTGGAATCTCAAAATTATCGCTCATCATCAGACTTAAATCAAATTTGAATTTAAAGTCTTGGGATCTTTGAGGAGCAATGAGCAAATGTTCACCACTAGATGCGCTGTTGAGCTCACCTTTAAATATTGATGCACCTTCTATCAAGCTCAATGCAGAGGCGTAGCTAGAAAATTTTTATAAGGGTGGCCGAAGGTAGATAGGCACTAAATTCTCATGGGCAAACTACACTGTTCCAACAGGAAAATTAACAAGCAAAACATCCATATTTTCTAAATAAAGACAAACTATACTTTCCTTCAGCCTTTGCTAACAAATAGACAAATATATTCAAACATCCGTGCTTTCTAGATAAAAGTTATAGTGGATAAAATTCTTTCAGTCAGTGTTTTAGGTGAACATCTTATCCATTGTAATTACTTTTATCAGTAATCATTCTGGATAAAATCAATATTCACAGGTACTGATATCTACATAAATTGATTATTTAATACTTTTTTATTAAAATAGTTATTTATCTATGATTTCACTGGAGAGTCCCAGATGACTTGCAGAGACACATCATTTTCACTTTACCCCATAAAACACAAAATCTATTCTGCTTGAGTTTTGTACTTATAATCTTTAATGTTAGTATATTGATGTGCATAATTAACCACAGTGTTTTTGTTGTCAAGAAATTGTTAATATATGAAAAATTAAAATGTTTTGCATATTCCCGCTGAGACTATTACTGCTGCCACCATCTGTATTAGAGGGAAATAAGTGGTAGGGGTGGCCACAGGGGTGTGCAATAATTGGCTAACAATGGCCATGGCCACCCCTGGCACCTCATTTAGCTCCGCCCCTGGCTCAATTAAATAACACAAGAGGTAATTTGGTTATTCTTATAACAATAATAATATTAATTAAAACTTATGATAATAATAATAAATACTAACAACACACTATGTAACATAACCTACTTCTACCAATTTTAATAGGGTTTTTAACAATTAACAGCTTGAAAGCCCGGACAAGGATCAGAATGCCGAGAACTCCGGAACTATTTATCTCTCTCTCTGTGTCCACACGGACAACAACAAAAAGAACAGCCATTCGCTGCGCTTCCGTTGCCCATGACACCGGAGCGAAGTTCTGACAGCTGAGTCCCAAACCGGTTCCCAAATACTTTTAGAAGCCCAGGTCCCGGTTATTCGTCTGGAGGTGTTTTCGTCTTCCGCGCTGCGGTGTTCCTGGAGGCGGGTTTACCGGAGGACAGCGGCTGATTATGGTGTAGCACGGAGCGTTAGCTCGCAGAGACGGAAGGTACCAGCACAAAGCTTAGACAAAACAGGCTGTAGGCATAAGAAAAGTTCCTCTTTAAAACAGAAAGACATATTTCTATATCTGTATATGTGTGGATTTACAGGAATCTGCTGATATCCACTTTGTTTACTCGTTAGTTTATTGCAGTGTTAGCGAAGTGTTATTACGCTAATTTAAGACAAGTGTTCTGGAATGAGGCTATCGGAGTCAGTTATATTATTGTCCTGATTTTTAGCTCCCTTTAGCTAAAAATTACATTGTTCTCTTGTAGCTGTATTTTTTTAACAGCCTAATCTTGTTAAAATAAATAATGAAGGTTCAAGTAGGATAGCTACTAAAGTGTTTAAGTTTGATTTATAAATCCTAGCATACAGCATACATATAGTTCTTGTTAAAACGACTTTATACATCCCTATTTTTTTTCACTTTGTGGAAAAAGCTTTTAAATATATTGCATAAACGAAAAACATCCGGTCAGTGCTTTTGTCTTGACGCAGATATTTGAGATGCACTGAATCTTGCAGCACAGGCTTTAAAATTAATATGCATTTTGTAAAAAAATTTTTTTCCTTTGAAGAGAAAAAAAAAATCTCAATTTGTTGTCCTTATTGTCTGTTATGGGCTGGGCTCCTTATTCAGTACAGCCTCTGCAAGTTTCTGCAGCATAGATACCCTACAGTTGATTCATATATGCTTGTTTCTGATTTTGCTTTGAAATGTTGCAGAATTATGCCATACTGTAACCTGCTGTATACAGTTATACAATTTTTGTCATCTCTATAACTTTGTCATCTCTATAACTACTTTATATTTAGCAATATTGTCCACTAAATTCTTCATCAAGTTTGGTCATAAACTGCAGTAAACCTGCAGAGGGGTGATTTATTTCAGATTTTTAAGTGAGGTTTGTATGATTAGCTGTATATATTGCACAATTTAAAAAAAAAACAACAAGATAATACAAAGTGCTTTGAAAGACTATGACTAAATGTAATTTTAAACAAGTGAGTTTTTCAAGCTTGATTTAAAAATAACTATGCTTTAAGCATATATTCAGATTTTTGGGATTTTGTTCCAGATGTTTGGTTCAGATTCTGGGGATGCTGAGTAGACTTGAACCAGTGGACCTGAGAAATGGCGAAGGTTGATGCACTGATAAAACGATCTATAATGTATTCTGGTTATAAAATATTCAGTGATTTACACATTAGCATAAGTATTTTAGTCTGTTCTGTGAGAAACAGAGAGCCATTGTAAGAACTTTAGAACTGGGATGATGTGCTCCACCGTAGTTAAGATGTGGGCAGCAACTCCCTGGATCAACAGCAGCTGTCTGATTGAGGTTTTACTGTGAAGATACTTCTGTAACATAAATCTGGCTAAATTTAAAGACATTAATTATTTTAAATTTAATACTCAAATGTGACAGAAGCCCCAAATATTCTTTTGAAGATAGAAGACCAACTTTGTTGCTGTCTTTATGTTCCTAACAAGGTTCAGGTCTGAGTTCATCACTATGCACAGATTTTGAACCAGATCAGCAGTTTCCAGCTGTAATAACTTGAAAATATATATTTTTAGTTTTTATATTTATTGATTATTATTTCTAGAACACTTTACATTGATTTTCTTTATGCATTCATTCAATGGTCAAATTGGTTCTCCGTCAAAGGTCACCGCAGTGACAGTTGGGGTATCTTAAGATATGGTATTTCAAGTGATATGAGCATAGTGATGGGGGGGCTCAATATTTAATCTGTGGGAAATCCTGCATGTGGCTTTTGTGATCTCGGATGTAAAGTTACCAACTGACCCAAACAGTCCTTGTTATTCTAGTAAGACTCAAACCGTTATAGAAGAGGTTAACTGTTAAAACAGAGCTTTTACAATAATTGTACTGATGAAGGGCAGGTTTGAGTTAGGCCTGTAGTTTTGCAGCAGCATCCTGTCCAGCCTGTATTTGTTATCAGATGTTATGACAGGCAGAACTTTCTGAATGAAAGCTGAGGGTAAAACATCGAGACAGCAGAAGGAAGAGCTTAGTTGATTTGTAATTTCTCCAAAGCTTTTTAGCTGATTTGGAAGTACTGATTTCTTTTAAGAGAGCTACTCTCACATTCTTCAACAGTAGATGTTATGGTGAATTGAAGTCCACTCCTTCATCCCGTCTGTTCAGCTTTTTTTCACACTTGCTTCTTTTCGTTTCTTCTACAAAATAATTTTTTTTCTGAAGCTAAAGGTAATTTAAGACTTGCTAAAAACCTCAATGCTGTACTCACCACCTTGCGCCTCTTCCTGTTCATTACTCTGAATTGTTTCTTTTTAGTTCCTGTTTCACACAGGAAGATTATTGGTGACACAATGTTTCCTTCTTAGATCTTCTGTGTAAAATTATCATCAGGTTTGTTATAAAAACTGTGAAATTGTGTAAACCACAGTTTGAAGGAGGAAAAGCACCTCGAAGAGTTTAAAGCTGGGCTCTTTGAGTGTTGTGAGGTCTGAGCTGTTTGGAAAACGTTTATTAGAACACCTGTCTTAATAACCCTGACACTCTTTCAATGTTTTAAAACAGTAGCTACTGATTCTAAAAAAGTTCTTAAATCAAATGTTTTCATAGATCACTCTTTCCAGATCATGTTACATTGAAGATTTTATTTTGAATTATTATTTTGTGATAGTATTACAAACACAGCTTCAAGACATTACAGCCCCTGCTGAGTTTTACAGATTATTTTTAAACCTTTCTTCATGCACATTGAAGGCATTTTTTGAGCCATTCAAACCAGATTAAGATTGAATACTTGTTGCTAGTTTGGGTATGTTCTTACTTGTGAAATTTCTCCCTATCTCCCTCGTTTCTTCTCTTAACCATTACATCTTTAGGGGCTGGGGGAAAACAAATTGAAAGTACTACTTTCTGAAATTCATCATCTGATGTTTGTATTCTTTATTGGGTTGATGACATGATTTAACAGTCTGCTAAATATCGAGCCATAATCTGCTTTAGATTCAACAAACGAGTGGGAAAAGGCGTTTTGATGTAAGAGCAGCCATTGCTATCATGACTTTAGCCATGTCTGTTGATATAAGAATATTTCCATTCCATGGAATTGAATAGAATTAAAAAGAAGAATCACAGGTCAAACAGATTTATTTCCTACTAAAAGCTCTGCCTCTAAATTTTTGGAGTAAGAAGCCAGGAAAATACAAAACAACTCCAGGCTAAGTCATGTTAACTTCATATGTTTTTCTGTTTTTAGTTTTTAGCCTGTGCTGCACAGGAAGCTTGTTGCTCTAACTGGTTGTTAGCCTCTGAGGCAGTTTAACTAACAGCCACATTAGTCTGTGGAGGAAATATATGTCAGGGTGCAGTGAGTGACAGGCGAGGCAGGTGGGCTTTGACTCCGTCTCAGTGACACACATTTCACGGCGTCTCTGGAAACCGATACGTTCCTTCTGCTTCTCCCAGAGGCCGCTCAACATTCACACATTACTGTATACTACTAGCCAATAATTAGAGGTTCACACACTGAGGCTAGTGGTTGCATCATTATTATATTGAATTAAGGTCTACATCGCTTTATAAAAGCGTGCATCAATCTTTAAGCCTTGATATAAGAAACTGACATGTACTACAGTACTAAAGGTGAAAAAGCTTGAGGGAAAGAAAAAAAATCCTGTAAAAAATAAAACATATCAACATGTTATCATAACTATATCAGCTCAGGCAAACATTGTATTATGTTTTGTGATTTTATTTAGTAAAGTTTTACTTCTTGCTAATAATTAGGGCTGAAACAATTAATCAGATTAAACCTGATTAAGAGATTTTAGAAATAATTGTCAACTAATATAGTAATTGATTAATTGTTTTAAGTTTAGAGACTCTAAAACATGCCTTTCGCAACCCAATCAGAGCAGTTATTATACCAAAAGTATAAAACATTTTGCAATCAAGATCAAAAGTCCCCCCCCTTCCATAAATATGCTCTATCCAGAAATCTTAGCTTCCCTTTGTTTAAATTCAGTGTAAAACGTATTTAAGGAATTGTTTTGCAATCCAATTATCAATCAATTAATCGGCAGATTAATTGATTAGCAAAATAGTTGACAGTTGCAGCCCTACCTATAATAATAATATAGCTGGACTGAAACAACTGTCACTCATTCAATACATCATTTAACCTTAATATCAACCCCAATATCTCCTTATCTACTTTCATTGCTCCTATTTATTACTTCCTTCCATACTTTTTCAAGGTAGACATCTAGCACTGTTAATGAGGAGGCTATTTTTGCAGAAACAATAAAAAGCCATAATGGTTCCCCCATTGTTCTCCTTATTCACAGCAAACGCGTTCCTGAGTTGATGTATCAGGCTGTCTTTACACGCTGCACAGGCAGCACGGGTCAGAACCTCTATCTGCTGTCAGTTCCTTCAGTAATATTGTGTGAAGTAAATGCTTTGGGTTTGTCTGACCCAGAGTCATCTTTGTTCAGGCGGTCTGAACCATGGAAGGAAACTGTGAAAAGCTTAATTGGGACATCCGTATAGTGGCTGATATGGTGGGACTGCTGTGTGATCAGGGTTAGAAGAAGTCAAAGTAAAGCAGCTGGCCTTCAGTCTGCTCTGACTTTTTTTTATACACAGAAGAAGTTTAATCTTGTTAATATTATATAAACTCTGTCTGCAGCTATAGGGCCTGTTTTCAAACAAGCCTTTATTTAAAGGATTGGACTCCAGTTGTCTGCATACTCAATTTTAATGTATTTGTTCTGATTAAAAAAAAAAAAATAAACCTCAACTTCCCCTTTCTATTCTTATGAGCAGCACATGAAACTGCAGACTTGGTTAAAGACTCTCATATTTGTTTTTATATCAGCAGCTTTGTCAGCCTATCTGTGCTTAAAAGCAGCTTGCATTCACTTTAGTGTGAATGCCCTGCAGAGTTGCTGCAGGCAAACTGATGTATTAACAGCCAGATAAATGAAAAAAAAAGAAACTTACAAACTTACTTTAAATCATTTACTTCTGTCTGTGACTGTAAGTCAGAGACTTCATGAAGCGTTTGAGGAAAACCTTTTGCAGATGTTCAGGAGGTGGTTTCCGTTTCCCTGGGAAACTGTATATTCTGCCGTGCTGCAGAAGGAAAAGATAAAAGATAATTTACAGAAACTTCCGGGTCCATGCACTTGCACCGCACCACTAACATTACTTGTAAGCATGTCTTTTTTTAATTTTTTATTAATTTATTTATTTGACAGGGACAGTGTACATAAAAAGCATTCCTGCAAATGCACCAGAATTATATCAAAAGGCTAATTTTCATCTGTTGTCCCTGGGCAAATCTTAAAATTGTCTACATAAAAAAAACACAACAGTAAGCATGGTACAATGAAAAATACAAATATAAAAAGAAATAAAAACAGCTATAACTCCTCAAAACTGATTTAAAAATACAGAATAAGTGTTTGCTGTACTACAGAGCTTCTTAAAATAGAATAAAACATTTAAACTATGTACATATAAATATATATACATACATATATATCTGATGAAAAACGTTTAAATGTTTCCTTAAACCTTTAATTTAATTAAACTTTTCACTCCAGAAAACTTTTTTTTTTTTGGTTTTAATCAAATTAAAATTCTCAAAAACTGAGGGCTGAATTTCCTTCACGGTGCCTGTGTGTTTCCCTTGGGTATAATTATGGGGCAGCACAGGGGCAGATTTCTATTAGCCAGTGGGCAAAAGGTTGGCAAGTACATATTTATTTTGACTCACAAACTTTGTTTGAATTGGTAAGGGATTCAAAGAAAATTTTATTGTCACATGTGGATCTCTATAATTTTGAAAATCACCCAACAGTTTCAAAATCTTGTTGTGTAAATCCCAATTAAAGTCATAGGGAAGTCATAATTAAATGTCAAATCATTCTGGCTTAAACATATATAGAAATGTACTCTTCATCAGACCATATTGTCCCAAAATTTAGAAAATTTCTATTTAAAAAAAATCCTGTCTTAAAATCTTTTTTTATTATCTTATGCAGGCCAGTTATAACGTCAACTTCTACACCTAATTTCGGACAATCATATATCAGCAGTCATCTGTCAATCAAGTGTTTTTAGTCATAGCATCTTGATTCATATGTCGCAGCTAATATACGCAACGACTGATATAAGAAATTAAATCATTTAATTTACTAGGGATGCACCGATCCGATATTTTGATCAGAATCGGTCCAGATATAAGGAAAAAAAACTAGATCAGTATTGGTGACACTTGACTCGATATAGGGGCCGATCTATTCATACTAACTCTATGCTATGCTCTGCCGTCATGCGGCAGCGCAACAACACAACACGGCCTAATTAGCTATAACATCACCAACTTCATGAAACACCTCCAGAGGTTTCATAACAAGGAACATGCTGATATTTGCGGACTCGGCAAACAAAAAAGGAAGCAGCGGGAAGCAGTTAACTTCTTTGGAAGCAAAGGAAAGAAGTGACTTTTTTCCATGTAACAGTATACAGGCCAAAAAAAATCACAGAGATGATACTTGATAATGACACTTTTTTTACATGTTCACCAAGTCAGAGAACTGGTTTAAGATTTTGTGCACAGTTGTTAAATAAATGAGTCACAACATTTTGGGTTGTTTCCTTTTTTTTTTAAGAAAAGGGAAATCAAATCATATGCTCAGAAGAATGATCTCATTTTTTTTCTTTTTTTTTTTTCTTCACACAATAAAACCATTTTTTAGCTAATAATTTAGTGCTGTTTTTTTGGTATCGGTATCGGCCAACATTAAACTACAAATATCTGTACCGGATCGGAGGTGAAAAAGGTGGATTGGTGCATCCCTATACTTTACCATTGAGTTACGTCCCAGTGTTCATGTGGATGGACGTCTGTGTCTTCGTCAGGCGTAGAGCTAACAGAACTGACAGCGTTGCGAGGCAAGGGCTCAAACATCTACGGCTGTAAGCCTTCTACACCAAACCAAACTTCTGCTGCCCTGGCATCCTCTTCCACAACAACTTCGTCCCCACTTTCCTTCTCTAAATAAAAAATGTATGATGGAGGAGACTCATCCATTACCTCTGACACAAAACTCTCCTCCTCTTGCATGTTTCCGCTGTCCATAGCGTTCCTTGACAGTGTCTTTTCTAAGTCCCCAATTTAGCGCTACTCTACTGCGTCCAAATGTAATTTCCCATTGGGAACCTTCTAGCACTAAGTTGCTAACTGGTTAGCAAGATGCTTCCGATAAACCAGCCACAACCAAAAATGCTTGCGAACTTTCCGCCACAACAATCCCGCCCCCTTGATAAACAACCAATCAAATTCACTTTATTTACTCGTGTAAAGTCGTGCACCACTCTGGAGAATTTGGAAATGCAACGGTTGGAACAGCTGCTTCCTTATGGCTTTAATATTTTTTCAGAGCTCTGTATATACAATATTAAACATAAAGCCTGATGTGTAGTCAGTTAATGTTTATTGTTAATGTGTCAATGTCTCTTCTTCTTCAATAATTATAGCTACGTCGAGCACAATGAATCGAACCAATGTGTGTTTTCATTTGTTTGCTCTGCAGACATTTGAGCAGCGGACCCAGCGTGGTTAGTGCAGACGAAGGTGTGCCACAGCAGCTTAGCCATGCTTACACTGGCCAGCAAGTTGAAGAAGGAAGATGGAGGAAAGACAGGCCGTGCCTCTGGAGCATCTGACTCCACCCACAGGATCTCCATCAGGGACCGCCTCCTCACCAAAGGTTTGCTTCTCCTAACCTTTAAGAGGCAGATAAAGAACAAAGATCAGACATGTCTCAGTTATGTGTTGATTGTTTTTAATGCTTTGTTGTTTTATTGGTTCTTGTTATGAAAATCTGAAACCACCAACCACGATTATGATTTATTTTGCTCGAGGTTAATCTAACTAACTACTACAAACAAAACAAAGAGGGCTTTTAGGTTGTGTATCTTATACATTTACTCGTAAAAAGGCAATTACTTTAAGAAGTAACACAATGGAGGTTTTATTTATGAGCAAACTGAATTTAAAAAATAGTTATAGTTGCCTAAATAAGCAAACTATTTTTAATAAGTGACACAAATTTGTATTTTTTATGAGTAGCATGTTAAGCCAAAGGCCCAGTTTTCCCTAAAATAGTAGCTAAAAGGCTTTGAGCTGATAATTGCTGAATAAACGTCGACTCTTTAATAGAGTTTTGAACTAAATATTTGAGTGTATTTAAATATATAAAGTATATTTACATTTACAATGTATAAAGTGTATATACATTTAAGTATTTAAAACTTGAAGTGAATTGAATTAAATGTTAGAATTATAGAAACATTCATTAAAATCAAATCAATTTCAATAAGTAAGTTATGTGAAACAATGAGATTAAAGTTTAATATTAATGTTTATCAGAAAAAAAACTTTAAAAATATAGATATGTAATAAAACATACATGTTTAGAATGTTTACTATAAGTAAATCCAATCTAACTTTATTTATAAAGCACTGTGCTGTACAGTGGAACAACATTGCATAAAAGACTAAATTAAAATCAGAACTATAAAATCTATATTAAAAAAAGTTATTTAAAATAATGTATCACTGACTAAAATCAACATCTAACACAGTTTAAATGAAAAAAAAGTAAGATATTCAAATAAATGAATACTTTGATAAAATGTTCTGGATTGTGGTGAAGAGGCAGTTGCAGAGACTGAATCCCAATCAGGCATCAGGTCCTGATGATGTCAGTCCCAGAGTCCTGAATGCTTGTGAAGAGCAGCTCTGTGATTTTAAAACACCTCCTCAACTTCAGCCTGACCCAGCAGACAGTTCTAGTGATGTGGAAGATCTCCTGCCTTGTTTCAGTACCAAAGAAAGCTCAGCCAACAGTCCTCAGTAACTGCAGACCTGCTGCCCTGCTTCCACAAACCAACTGTCATTTAACTTGGCAGGCTGACTCAATCCAGAAGTAGACTCAGGTGGAGGAATCAACAACCGCCTGGATCAAAGACTACCTGAAAAACAGACCACAGTTTGTTCGACTGAAGGGTCAACTAACTAATCAAGTAGTCACCAGCACAGGAGCACCACATGGGGCAGCACTCTCACCATCCGTTTTTACTCTACACACCCTGGACTTCCAGTACCAGACAGAGTATTCTCATCTGCAAAAATACTCGGATAACTCTACAGTCATTGGGTGGACAAAAAGCTGAGTACAGGGAGCTGGTGAACCTCTTTGCAGCGTGGGAAGAATCATCTGATCCTAAATGTGAACAAAACAAGGGAGATGATTGTAGGTTTCAGAAGAAACAGGAACTAGTTGAATCCTATTAACATCGTGGGAGAAGAAGTTGAGGTAGTTGAGGAGTATAAATACACCGGTGTTCACCTGGACAACAAGCTAGACCAGAGACACAACTGTGAAGCCATCTACAAGAAGGTATAGAGCAGATTGCACTTCCTAAGGAAGCTTTGGTCCTTCTGTGTTTGCAGTAAGATGCTGTAGATCTTCTATAAGTTTGTTGTGGAAAGTGTGAACTCTTCCATCATCTGCTGGGGCAACAGCATCAGAGCAAATGACTAAAAAAAAGCTGATAAAGAAGGCCGGCTCTGTCCAGTGTACTCTTCTACAACCTCTTAGATGATTTTACAAAATAAAGAACCGTATGGACAATCAGACTGAACAACAACAGGCTTCTACCAAATCCACTAAAAAATAGTCGGCTACAGAGGATCCTTCATGCCTACAGCTATTAACATCCAGAACAACTTGTTGAAGAAACCTCTACAAGAAGTGCAACGTTTATTTCCCTTTGGGATTATTAAAACATTTTTGAATTGAATTGTGTTAATGGAAAGTACTTTATCTGAATTATACATATATTTTTTTTGTTATTAGACTGCAAAGTCAAACAATAAGTGATGGTGGCGTTTTTATTGGGTTTCTTCTCTGTCAGAAGGAAATTGAATAAAAGTTTTTAAAGATGAGAAACTAATTAGATTTGTCCATAAAAAATGTATTTCTATGAATAAAAATATAATGAGAGCGACAGTAGTGCTTAGTAAAACATGGTAATTGTGTGTATCTCATAGTGACTGAAACAACGTTTAACAAAACAGAGCCGAATCTCACCAGCAGATTACCCCTCCTCTGTTTTCCCTCTGATTCCCCTTTTTGTTCTGCTCATACATTTTCTGTCTAATTTTCCCACTGCATCATTGTGCTCAAAGCAAGATGTATACTTTTTCTTATTTCTTATTCAGTGTCCATATGCAGATGGATGTGGACAGATATGCAGAAAACTTGTGGGAGAGTTTTCTGCTTTTGGCCTAATTACATGTTGTTCCAAACACTTTGAATCTTCAGGAACCAAAACACTCAAAGGAATTAACCCAAACAAGCTGCACAGTGCGAGAGTTTCAGAAACAGCTAATTTATCCCAATGAGTTTCATGGATCCTCATTTTTACTTTGTTCTGACTCATCCTTTTTATTTTATCCCAACAGAAGTTGCAGAACTTGAAGCCAATCTCCCTAGTAAGTATGCTGTACATTTCCCTGCTCTATATTCTGCTCAAGGCTAAGTCACTGAAAGTGGGAGTAGAATAAAAACATTGTCCTGAATTAACAGGAGATGCTCCTCGTCTTTATTGGGATACTCCAGGTGGAAGTCATTTTTTAGTTACTGAACTGATTCTTTTTAAAACATGAATAGATTTTTTTTATTATTATTACTGTATAAATGATGATGACAAGTTTATTGGTGTTTGTCAACAGCCTGATACTTACATTATTTTTTCAAACGCCAGAATTCTGCAGGTCTGTTTTAGCTGCTGCCCTCCTCACATAAATTCTCCATTATTAAGGATAAAACAAGTCATGTTAGCAGCATATGAACATTTAGTGTCTGGATTCTAATTGCTTGCACTGAAAAAAATCTAAATCTAGTAAATCAAGTAATTTTTTCTTAAATTAAGTGTATTTGTTGTTGGATTGAGGAGCTAAAAGAGACATTATGCCAATGGAACAAGACAAGTTACACTTAAAATAAGAAAAAAACATTTGCATTGTCTTATTTCAATTGCATTTTATCTAATTATCTTATTTTAAGAGAAAAAATACTCATTCCATTGGCAAACTATCTCATGTACCTACTCAAATTAAGGATAAATACACTTGGTAAAGCTGTTGTCGATGGCAATCATCCGTCACAGGAAATGACTAAGCTACAAAACTGATATGCACGTGTGGAAGTACAGCCACACCAGGGAAGTGGAGGGAGGAAGTCGTATGGAATAGGGTTACAAAGTAATGGAGAACGAAGGGAGCCCAAACGTGATAAATTTTGATGACGGTCTCTTTCACAATAAGGCGTTTTCCCTCCACTCTGACCCTTTAGCTTAAAATTGTGGGTCAAAAAAAGGGTCAATTTACCGTTCATTCCATATAGTTTTTGCTGTTTTCTATATTTTGTGCTCCTCTACAAATCAAACAGCTGATGGAGAAAAATAATATAGAAGTCTTAGCTTACCTGTGTTGCCATATGGTTCTATGATAGTTTTAATGGCTAGTGACAATTCTAAACTAAAATAAATAGTTTGTCTTTATGGTGTTGCATTAAGTTTGAATACAGAAGAGATTTATCAGGAGGATAATAAAAAAAAGGCAGTGCAGGCATTAATCATGCTTGTAGTACATATCGTCGAACACCAGGGGGAGATATGGTGCTTCAGGCACTCCTAGAGGCAGTTTCTCAGTTTTGACTCTAGATATAAACAGTGGCTTCAATGCTTAATGTGTGCAGGTTATTGCTTTCCAAACAGCTGGTGATGACTGAAACTTCTGACCTTAGATGCAGAGTCTTGTCAGTCTCCGTCTCACCACTGTTTTTACTTTTTGCAGGTACATGCAAAGCAAGTTTCCCAGATGAGAATAAGCTGCATCACTTTCAGCTGGCAGTGTCTCCTGGTAAGAGTAACATTTATTTGTTTTGTTGATAGAAACTTCTACAACTGACATTTTATATTTTATTTTGAACTGCACAACTTAAACTATTCCAGGTAAGACAATGTTATAAACCTCTACATACTCTCCTATTGTAAAGAAGGGACTCATAAAGATTTCCCTTCAGGTTAAGTGAAGGCTGAGAGTAAAAGTGCAACTGTTAGCAGTTTTGTTTCTAATTCTGCGTGCGTATTCACAATGAGTGGCACTTGGAGCTCTCTTCTATATTTCCACATAAGCCTTGCACTTTGATCGGCCCATCCTGGGGTCCATTTTGCTTGCTCAGCATTCTTCCAGGCTAAGTGGGCTACCTATCGAGTTTTGTACAACACAAACACACCCGTGTGGAATTACACAAGTCTTTGGAGGTTGTCTTACCTGTCACTTCCTGTTCCCTACTCGTCACAGGGAAACTGTAACAGAGTCTAAACCCAGTGTCACCTTCTCCATTACCTGCATTTAGAAAAGCTGACCAGCAGTTAATGTATTATGCAAAAGCTATGGACCCAAACAAATCTGTTGTTTTTGTAGTTTCTGTAGGAATAAACAATCTGCCTGTCTGTCTATCTAGATATTAGTGAAAACTTTATTTCTGTAACTCAAATCACTAAATGAAACACTCAATAGATAAATGAAATCGACACTAATCTTAAAGCTGTTTGATTTGACTTGTTTTTCAGCTTACAGTTATTCATTGCACTAACAATATTTAGATTTTTTTCCCATGAAACCCTTCTAGCTCCTAACAAAAAAAGGTCTCGCCTCTTATCTTCCAGTTTTTAGTTTTTTTTCCTAAAACCAAAGTTTGGGCGTTTGGGGCTATGAAATTTGACGGCTTAGAAAAAGGGTAATTTGTATGGGTGTGTGTTTGTGTGTGTTTTATCAGCCATTTATGGCGATTCGTTCTGGATCATTGTCCTATTTGAAACAATGAAGGCACATTTTTGGTTTATGAAATTGCTGAATCTCATGCGATTATAAAGTCTGGGGGTGAGTATTGGCATATGTGTTACCATACGATACATGTCACAGTACTTCGGTCACAATATGACATTATCATGAATGATATGGCAATATCACAGTTTATTGTGATATAAACCCAGCTATCAAAATGAAATATGTAGACAAGAAAGTAAGTGCTGCATATGTTCATCTGAATCCATGATCAAATATTTTTTTGTTTGTTTTATATAAATATTAGGAACTGAAAAATCAATATTTTATTGGGCAGCCAAAAATCACAATTGATTTTTCCCCACACCACTAATATATTCTGTGGTCTGTAAAGGTTTGTGAGATCTTTAGAATAGAAACGGGCCCACATTGTTAAAGATCCTCCACTAATCAGAGGGTTTGAGGATTTTTCCAACGAGTTATATATATTTTTTTTCATTGAGATGGCAGGATATCTTTTTTTTTTCTTTTCATGCTTATTCAAAAAAAACTGCTTTGTATGTTTATATGTCTAATAATTGTTATGGAGGCTAGATGGACCCAAGGTGATGCATTTTAGTGCAGTTCTCTTGCAGTGAGATATTTTTACCATCCCTTACTTCCTCCTCACTGTACGGGTTGGCAACATATGCATCAGTCCTTGTCTGCCCTTGTGGCCAGTGGCCAGGAGAAATAATCCTTTTTCACATCATATTTGGATCCATAGCGAACGGATCATAATTACTAGCTAAATAAATGTTTATAGAAATGCTTCTATGCTTTTCTGAGCTCTCTAACTTACATAAAAATGTAAGGTTAGTTTATTTTAAGGCAGAGCGACAACATCATAAAATAATTACAAACTCAATGAATAGATGGCGTCCTTTTATCACTCTATAACAAGCAGAATCCTGGCTCCTAAAGATAACTCTTAACCAATTTTCCCTATAAATTGATTGATTTATCCTAATGGATACTCCTCAACCCAAACTTTAATTTGTATCCTAGCTTAAATAATTATTTTACTCTGTTTTAACCACTCCACCACCATGGAGAGGCCAGACGGCAGTAAATGGCATCAGGGAAGCGATGGTAGATCTCCACATGGCTGGAAGGGATGGATGGTCATGCCATACAAGGTCTCATTCGTTACGGTTGATGATGAGGAAGTATGCGGATCAAACCCAAACTAAACCAGCTTGGAAGCGATCTGAAAGTAGTAAGGCTGACAGCCAAACCTCAGTAGAACCCAGTCAGCCTTCCTCAGCATGCGTCTCTCTCCTCTGTCCTCAACTTACACACGCCTCTTTGTAATTTTGTCTTCTCTGTGTCACCCATGCCGGCACCTTTACCTCAGATTAGCTGTCAGGAAGATCTTGGTAAGCAATATCTGCAGAGAAAAAAGCAAAGATCGGCGATTAGTGAGAAGGATTGGTGTCTTGTTCTTTTAAAAGGAGCTGATATGGAGATTGGGTTCTCAGGAAAAGACTCGCTCAATTATTTAAAAAGACTGACTCCCTAGGCGCTACCGTCCCACCTCCGTCCCGTCGCACATCACCGTCCTCACTCCACTCTCTCTCCTGATTTTATCTTAACAGTATTTGGTTTTGCATCCTGCTCCACATTTTGCTCTGCATTTCTTATTAATCTACCAGCCGTGTTTATTTTCAAACATGTTTTTGTCATTTCTTTTATGAAGAAGCAGTTGAACATGCAAAGGAGAACATGTGTGTTTATAGAACAATATGTGTAATTTTTCCCAGTTGTCAAATGAAAAAACACATGAAATTATGTTTGTTACATTATTCTTTCTGCTTCAGTTCTCCTAATTGAGTTGCAGTAGATGTTATGTCACTTTTCTCCACAGTAGAAAGTATAGAGAAGCGTGCCCCAGGGTCAGGGCTGTCTAGTTTGTTTTGAGTTGAAGGTAAAATTCATGTGGACTTGTTATGTAGAAAATTCAAGATTTACGCCTATCTGAGCTCCCCTCCCATCTTTTCTTTGTGTCCTTTTGTTTTCTCATGCTCCTGTTATCGTATACATATCTCAGAGCTATAATGGACTGTTTACTGTAACTCAGCATTATTCTCAAAGCGTATAGGAGTTTTATAAATAGCCGCCTCACTATCTGAACATTTGAACCAGACGCTTCCCAAGCTTAACTCTGACAGTGCCTTACAAAATGAATCATACCCCTTGATCATGTTTTCTCATGTTGCAGCCACACATTTTTGTTGAATTTTAGGTAAAGGACCAACACAAAGTAGAGGATGGAACATTTGAAGTCCTGTTCACATTCTCCTCCCTATTGTTTTAGATTGTTTTCCAAAGTTTATTTGTCTCCTTAACTCGTTAACCCTCTTTCTTTTAGAAAAATAAAACCATTTTTACCTTTTTTATATTAATCCCAATAAAATATGTTACAGTTTCTGTCTGTAATATAGAAAAGCTGTTGAATATAAACTTTTATAAGGGACTTGGTGTTTATAAACCAGGTCAACCTTTATTCACAATCCTTAAAGTCAAGCAGAGTCCTTAAAATAAATGTTTTATTACAGTGTTATTAAGCAGAGTTCTCACATGAACAGCAGAGGCATACATGGGAACAGCACTTTTGTAGATTTCCAGCTCTCACTGTGTGAAATACATGCAGTGGTGTGGAGGGAAGCTTAAAACGAGGAGGATATGGTACATAAAGTACAGTATAGAAATCCCAATGTTTCCTTTACAGCACCTCAGATGATAGATTAGGCTTTCTGTGCTCTGGTATTTATACCACATGTTTCCGTATCTATTAAAGTATCGATGACTGGCTCTAAAGAATCATGCTGGTCAGCAGAAAAATGAGTACGGCAGCAGCCCTTGAAGCCGAGTACAGTCGCTGTTCAATACTGCTGGAGACTTTCTTTGACACAGGCGCATTGTCTTACTTCCCAGGAGGAGGCTGTGTGGGAAATCTGCATTAGAAGTTCACACACTTTTGGAAATATGTTAGTAATAATTGAAAACTTTTGTTCAGACAAAAACATCTTCTTTTTCTGGTGTAGTCCTGTAAAAGAACAGTTTGATGCACCCCTAGGGGTCCAAGGTTTTGTTGAGGCTATGTTTGTTTTCAGTGAAGCTGTTTAGCACCGCGGTGTCAGACCCCCTGTGTCTGTGAGGAATGGGGTCTCCAGCAACACTGTGAGGTGAACATGCTCTGACCTATCATTCATTTACTATTTAACCAGGACAATGATGAAAGAGAACCTAGACTAGACTAGATTTTCTCTATTTCTCAGATATAGAGATGCTTCCTTTGTATGACAATAAGTTACATATTGTTTTTGCATATTTTAAGAGAGCTGCAGAGTGTGTGTATGTTCAGAACATCTGACAAGAGTCTGCATTTAGTTAAAGTATTTTGGCAAACTGGAGCAAAAGATGAAAAGTAGGGATAATTATAGCCAGAGCTGTGTCTGGTAAAAACAAATCTACTGCAAGTCTGGAAACTTTTCTAACTGAGTTAGTCTATAGTGTATTTTTGTATGGAGTCCAAATAGTTTCAAAGCAATCTGTCCTGTTTAAATGATGCTGATATTTGTGTTGCTAATATTGGGGCACACATTTTGGTAGAGTCCCTACAGTTCTGGGGGAGAACTGCGCACATTAGGAAAATGTTTTTTGTTGGGAAATATAAAAAAGAATAGAATAATTTCTTTATGTGACAAAAAGAAAAACAGAGAAAAGACAGGTTGTGAGTCTGTGTAATATGAATATTTTTTCCACATTAGTGAGCTGATTAATCAGGCTGTGTTTATTAGGTTGACAGCCTGGAGGAAGGAACTGTCTCTGTGAAGACTTGGTTTTGACAAATATTTTCTTAAGGTAAAAGTCTTAACAGTTTCTGTCCAGGATGTTTGGGATCAACTACTTTAGTAATAGATTACTCATTAACTGAAGTACAGAGACTCT